CACACACACACACACACACACACACACACACACACACACACACACACACACACTCACTCACTCACCCCATTTCTCTCCCACGACGACAGGGCAGCTGGCATGATAGGTCCTTGTATCCAGATTGCCTGCAGGTGTGTAGTTGTACCAAAAGACGGCTCCGTTCTGTGGGAGAAAGGACACAAAAAGATTCCAGTTACAGCCCGTGGTATAATCCGGACAACACTAAATTGGACAACTTGTCGACCTCATTACACAGAAATTAAGCGGCGAATTGCCCTGATTTTTTGCATGTGCCTCTGTATTCCAACAGGAAAGAAAAAACACTTTTTAAATCTCGATTTTCGTGCATATACGACAAATATAAAGAGGTGTTTTCTATATAATCATTAATATTTATTACGGTCTGCCCAGGGATTTTTACTAGAACAAGAGCGGTAGATGAGTGTTGTTTTGTTTGGGGGGTTTTTGTTGTTGTTGTTTTTTGGTTTAAAATCTATTTTCTTTTCTTTTTTTTTTAACTAACTGCATGCGCCGGTTTTGGATTTGACCAAACTGTATCCCCTTCGTCCTCTGAAATTTCTGGCTTAGCCCCAGCAACAACACCCTGTATAGTTATGGTTTTAGCATGGTACCGTGCTAGCTATAAAAAGTGCGCGGCGTTGAGTTTAATGAGCAATTAATTACTAATGACTTTATAAACGTACCTTTTTATATAATTAAAATTGTTTCATGTACCCGAAAATCGAGATTTTTTAAAATGTCTTTTAGAAATCAGAGGTGCGTGCAAGAAAATCAAAGAGATTCGCCCCTTAGATTCGGTGTAATGAGGTCGACAAGTTGTCCACTGGCTGTTGCCCGGACTATAACTTCTACGTCTAATTTGTACATTGTATTTTCTGTTTTGAGTTTCAGTTCAGCACTAACTCTTTCGGTGCGCATGGGTTGGACTGTGAGAAAGAAAATACGGAAAATAAAATAAAAAATACGAAAATTAAAATAGAAATAAAATCCCTTGAGTTCGGTTGTTTGTTGTTTTTTTTATCTCTTCTATGTATTTGAGCAGCGTCTCCAAACTGTAGAGAGAGAAAAAAAGACTAGCTAAACTGAAGAATATCCGCGTGTTTCTCAGATTTCGATTTAAGCCGACTAATTGTATATATTATATAGTTACACAATACAGTGAAGTCACCTTAAACTTTAACAGAAATCTGCGGGACCGCCGGGTTGTGTGTGTGTGTGTGTGTGTGTGTGTGTGTGTGTGTGTGTG